AGTAATTTTCAAATTTAATTATTTTGTTAGATGCCAACTTATTGTAAATTAACTTTTTGATAGAGACTTGAGCAAATTTTGAACTACTTTAGAAACTTCTGGAAAAAAATAAGATGTCATTTAGACTCAGTTTTATTAACGTTAAAAGGCATGGGGAATGGTTTAGTCTGGAAATTAAAGATAAACATTTGCGTAATCCATTCCAGGATTTCAGGAAATCAATTTTTGTTGAATAGATTGATTCGTTTACTGCAATATTATAATACCTAGAATGTTCGATCCTTTAGATCTAGAATTTGATGTTCGGGATTTTAACAAACCTCCCATTTATCTTGCTAATAGTTAGTCGATTAGCCCCATTAAGATTTTTCAGTTTTCACGACGAATGTGAAGCTGGTAATTGAAAAAAAACCGTTTGCAAAATTAATCATTTATTCTTCCGGAAAATCACTGATTTTGAAATTTGTGAAAATGTAATGTGACCATTATTATCTCGAATGTATTGTAAACAAAGACAACATGGGTCCCATGAAGGGTTTATAGCATCCTATCGACAATGAGCCAATCCATTTTCAGGTAGTCTATGCGGACTGTGTAAAGCCTTTTCCAGTGACTATCAAAAGTTCTTGTTATTTTTTTTACATTTGAAAAATTTTACAGCTTTTGATTAACTTATTTACAAATTTTATATTTTTCTTCCATGTGAAACTTTTGCTGCACATTAAAGATGTGAGCTTTTAAACTAAAAAATTGAACGTTGGGACGTTTTGCGTCTTATTCTGTGTTGAAAGCTTGTACGCTTCCGATGATTATATTAGCGGAGGTGAACCATTGACTGTGTCTTGATAGTCTTGATACGAATGGTTCTTGGAAAAGTTTATCCAGTTCATCGGAAAATTGGTTTAGCCTATGCTGTGCCACGTTTAGATCATCGATGTTGATTTTAGATAGTTTAACAGGTTTCAAATCTGGGACATGAATATTCACCGGCAGGTGTTTGCAGCAGTCATAGGTGATTTCCACTGGATGGCTTTCATAGGTGACGTTTCTGTATTTTCCAGCTAGATGCCTAGCATGAATTCTGGAGTTTCTCACAAAGGAATTGTATGTTGGTTGGAGCTTGAGCACTGTGTTGGTGTTGATTGTTTTTGTCACACTGTTTTTGCCATCACATCTGATAATGATTGGAAGGGATGATGATAATGTTATGAGTCAGTAGTTTGTGTCTAGTTCTTGCACATTTTAGTCACTAGCGAGTGAGATTGAGTATATTAAGACATTGAAAGCTTGCACGCTTTGTGTGTTATTGTATGTTGAAAGCTTCTACGCTTTGCATGAATTATGGAAACGTTGAAAGCTCGGACGCTTCAGGTGTAGCTCTATGTTGAAAGCTTGTACGCTTTACATGAAGTATGGAAACGTTGAAAGCTTGCATGCTTTGCGTATTGTTATGTTTGTGTTGAAACCTTATACGCTTTGTATGAAGTACGAAACTTTCAATGGTTTCGTACTGGATGATGTATGTTGTATGATACTTTGAGTTTTACGATGATATATACTCTAATTTCTGCGATGATGTACTTTGAGTTCTACGATGATATATACTCTGATTTCTACGATGATATACTTTGAGTTCTACGATGATATATACTCTGATTTCTGCGATGATATACTTTGAGTTCTACGATGATATATACTCTAATTTCTACGATGATATATTTTGAGTTCTACGATGATATATATTCTGATTTCTACGATGATATACTTTGAGTTCTACGATGATATATACTCTGATTTCTACGATGATATACTTTGAGTTCTACGATGATATATACTCTGATTTCTACGATGATATACTTTGAGTTCTACGATGATATATACTCTAATTTCTACGATGATATACTTTGAGTTCTACGATGATATATATTCTGATTTCTACGATGATATACTTTGAGTTCTACGATGATATATATTCCGATTTCTACTATGATAGACTTGGATTTCTATGATGATATTTTTCGTTTTCTAAGATGATATAATTTGATTATTACGATGATTTACTTTGATTTCTATGATGATATGATTTTTAGTTACTGCGTTGATATGATTTGAATTCTGCGTATTTTCATTATCTCTGGTTGTGTCGTTCACGGTCGGCCTCGTAGTCGGCTCACAGCTCCATATTTGCTTAATGACAAAACAAAACCGGAGCTGTTGCCTTTTTTTTTCTGTTTCAGATTTTGGCCGTTCTCCTGTTAATTCGAGAACGAATTATGTGTCAGGTTGGCCGTGCGAGAATCTGATACCCCAAAAATAGAGAAGTGACAGCGACGCAAAAAGGATTTGTGCAAAACCATAGTTGATCCCTTGGTTTTATTATTTAGGTTGTATGATTCACTGTTTATGACCCGACCCATTGTTACTTCGGTAACATTGAAAGGGCTCTTCAAAAAACAGTTAGGTTTTAGGCTAGGTAGTTTTAGTGATTTTCGACACGGACTTGCATTTTGTTCAGCTTCTTGAAAGCATCGTCGCCCTAATATTTTTGTGAATTTGAAATAAACTATTTTTATTGTCGAAAGTCTAGCGTTTTCTTACATATATTATAGTATCGGTTTGTTATTTAAAATAGTAAAAATATGTATAAAATAGTAGAAATAGATGTTGACAGTTTGACAATTTTTTGACATACATCTTAGAGATGCAGGTTTGAGCCAGTTTGATTGTACATCGTACAACCGATGATAATTTTAATGAAGCAAGGTACCCGAGTTTATTTAGTACAACTTTCAAAAATTACTAGTACAAATTTACTTCGCTTGTGTCCAACCCCAACCCAAGCAGCAGGTAACTAAACTAAACCGACGCCAGCCAGGCCAGAGCTTTACACATGGCAGATGTGCACCCAGATGCACGTTCTCTTTTCTATTATCGACATTTCTGACTGATTTTTCTGTCCGAGTGTTTCGTCACTCTTCTCTCGAATTCCAAAGTTAATGGACGCGTTTTGTTTTTTCTTCAATTTTTATTTTAAAGTGATTTTATGATAAATTTTTGAAGTATTTATTAAAATAATTTATTGTGCAGAAATGAAGTGGTTGTGAGCTGAAAGCTTTGTTGTGGCCATACCAGGTAATGATGAAATATATTATTGTAATTAGTAATTAGATTTTTGGGAAAGTTGCATCTAAAAATAGTTATTCGATAGGTATTTCGCAATGAAAAACGCATCACTCGCTAAAAGTGTATAGGTGGGTTTATACAGCCACATAACATAACATAAGAAATAACATAACATAAGATAAAAAGTTGACCTTATGGAAACTCTTTATGGCGTTTATACAGAAAATAACATTACATAACATAACATAAGAAATAAGAAAGTTGGTTAACTTTTAACTTTTATGTCGTATTTTATGTGAAAACGGATCTGCGCATGCTCCTCCCTTGATGTCGGCAATGGCGGAGTAGTAAACAAAACATTCCAACCAAAAAAAAAAATATTTTGATTTTGTTTTGAGCTATGGGTAATTTTTTGGAATTCGATATTTATTTTCTGTTTCTGGTAAATTATTAATTAATAATTTTTTTGATCAAATATAGTGTTTTCCGTAGAGTTTACATAAGTAAACATACCAGCTGATTGGTTAGAAATTATTTCTTATGTTATGTTATTTTCTGTATAAACGCCACAAAATTCTTATTTCTTATATTACGTTATGTCTTATTTTATCTTATTTCTTATGTTATGTTATGTGCTGTATAAACCCACCTTATATTTTTAAACAAATTTTCTGCATGTTAATGGTGTAAAAAATAACAATTATTGATTAAATTTTACTTTATTTTTATATTTTTTATTAAATTATTTTTTTTTCAATAGCTCAAAGCCCAAGCATATGTACAGAATTTAGTTAACAAATATTTTCTTCTATGGGGTGATGCGTTTTTTTTTTGTTACACAGTATATATTTTTCCGAAGACTGGGGATTAAAAAAAATATACTTGCTATACTTTTTGAATATGTTCCCAAAATGTAAAGTATACAAAAATCAAATATTTATACCAAAGCGTTATCTAACGTAACTTTTTGTTCACTGCTGTTTATTGCTTATTTGTTATTGCTATTATTTATTTTATTCTTTATCATATTCAACATAATAAATGCTAATTTCCTTATTCATTTCAAATGCTGGGTCAGCGTCAGTTGCACCAAAATATGCCTTTCTTTTTTCCAAATAAATGAACATATTTTTTATTGAATTTGGCTTATGAGTTTATTGAATATTGTTTCCCAAAAGAAAATAATCTATCGCCTGTCAAAATCTAATAAAATCTTCGATAAAATCGTCTGGCTGGAAATCCCCCACTGTTGTCAAGGGTAGATATAATTGAATTTCGTAAGTGTCTTTTCTAATTTATATATATGTACAGTCCATTTGTTTTAGCGAGACCATTAAATTAAGTATAATTATGTAAATTTATGCAAAACTCCGACAAAGTGTTTACCTGTGTACAAAATAAATTTTTCATTTTTCATAAGAATACTATTAAGGTGTCAGCAAATCATAAGATTAAACTTGAACAACCGTGTTAGGGTATAAGAAGGGTCTATAGTCGCCATGGGTATTTGAAATCTATCTGCAAATTGTGATAAAAGCATGAAATTTTATGTGGGCACTATTTTGGCTATTTTAAGAGATTCCACCCGCAGCACACTTTAGTTGGTCCTGTAGGATCCAGAATGGCTTTTCCAATATGGCCGTTCTAAAATTTGAAAAATTCCATTTTTTATCTGATTTGGTGGCATTGGTGTTATTTTTGGATAACTGAAAGGTGATTTAGAAGAAAATAATAGAATTTTTTCAGAACCACCAATTACTTATTAGTTTTTGACAAAAAAAAACATAAATTATTAAAAAAATCACACTGTTTAGGTTTTTTGTTACAATGTTTATAAATTTAAAATGCAGAGATTTATCTCGTTGAAAACGGAGCCATCAAATTGTAAGCCAGTTAAAATTGTAGCCGCAGGTCGTTTCCTTCCTATTTGTAATGGCAGCTTCCAAGTTTTTTGTGCTTAAAAATTCCTCATGGTGCATTTCAACAACTTTGAAATGTGGCAACTTTTTTTTGGATCCTTTAATAATTTCGATCCACTGATCGGGGCTGTGAATTTGTACATGTTTACGGCTTGCACTTTCTTTTATACCAAATTCGCCATCATTAGGGAGGTAGGAGTAGCCTGACACTAAGAATTTGAGATCTATTGTATCAATAGAGACATCTGGATCTTGCAACAAGCTTTGGAAGAGAAAGGCTTGTTTTAATATTACGATTTTGGCAGGTGCATGAATCTGAATATGCAATAACATGATTATGGGTTGAAGCATTTTCTTTTAAATGTTTAACCAAACACGTTGCTATATCTTGGGAGCCACGCCCACCTTCCGTTTCATCCCATACGTACATATATCCAGTTTTATCATTTCCACCAATGTATACCTAAATTGTACAGGGTGGGCCACTGAAAACTTACAATGGCTATAATTTTTGAACCAAAAAAGATATTGAAAAAATAAAAAATACCGTTTTTATAAAATCAAGGCGAATACACATGACGTATTTTTTAAACCACCCCGACCTACCCCTTAGGCGCCACCCCTACTCGCTTCAAAATCTTTAATGGCAACACCCCACTTGTGGCACCTTTTTGGAAAGCTCATGAAAAATGCTAAATGATGGTCATAAAATTTTTAGGGTGACATTGAAAAACTATCCGTCAAATGAAAAAAATTGGTAGAAATAAATTTTACAAAAAAAAAAGAATTTTTAGCATGAAATTAGAGATAGGAAATTGAAGCGACCCAGCTAAATTCAAATTACGTATTTTTCAAACCACTGCGACCCACCCCTAGGAGCCACCCTCACTCATTTGAAATTCTAAGATTGCGGTACCCCACTTGTGGCACCTCTATGGAAAGCTATTTGAAAATGCTAAACGATGGTCATAAGGATTTTAACCTAAGAAAATTACGGCTAAGTAGAGATAAAGAAATGTAGGTGTGACCTTTTGAAAAATAGGAACCAAATTAAAAATGATCTAGATAATTTATTTTAACAATTGCTCAAAATGACAGCCGTTTTGTTCCATACAAAAATACAAACGACTTTCAAATTCTTCTCTCACTTTCTGGAACATCTCTCTCGGAATGTTTCGACATGCCTCAATTATCCTCTGCCGCAATTCTTGCACCGAAGCTGGTTTTGTCTTGTAGACTATGGATTTAATGTAACCCCACAAAAAGAAGTCTAAAGAAGTGAGGTCAGGTGACCTTGGCGGCCACTCGATTGGACCCCTTCTGCCAATCCATTGCCTTGGATAAAATCTATCTAACCACCGCCTTGTGAGTCTTGTGACAATAGCATAATGCGGAGGGGCTCCATCTTGCTGAAAGTGTATGATATCTTCATCAAGATTCAAATTTCCTCCCAAATCTCTTTGATTTTCAACCTCATTTACAATTTCCGGCTCTATCGCATTGTCCAGCATTTCCACATAAACAGCACCCATCAAATTTCCGTCGATGAAAAATGGACCTATTATTTTATCGCCCAGTATTCCGCACCAAACATTGAGCTTTTGGGGATTTTGGGTATGTCCTTCAACAACAATATGGGGATTCTCATCGCTCCAGTATCTGCAGTTCTGTTTATTCACAATTCCATTTAGCAAAAACGAGCACTCATCACTAAAACAAACATTTTTAGTGAGTGAAGGTTGCCTTCGAATTTCCTCCGTCATTAGTTCGCAGAACTGAATCCTTCTATCTGGATCATCGTCCCCAAGTTCCTGCAGAATTTTCATTTTGTAGGGGTGGAATTTGTGCATTGTTAATACACTTCTGACAGATGTTCGGGGTATGCCTGTTATTGATGCCAACTGGCGCGTTGATGCTTCTGGATTGACCGACACCTGACCAATAACTTCGATTTGCATTTCTTCATTCAGTACCCTGGGCCCTACCCTTTTTTGATTTTTCACCGATCCCGCTCGTTGAAACTTTTGGATCAAATCCCTAACATAAACGTGACTAACGTTTCTGTCCGGATTTCTCTCATTGAAAGCACGGGCTGTTCTCAAATAGCACCTACCTTCAGCACCATAAAGAAAAACTATTTCAATTCTTTCTTCCACACTATAAACCATTTTTCGAAGTTTTAACTAAGTAAATTAAATAAAGGTAGAAACTATCGTCACTAAATTTGCAAAATAATGATTTGAAAAATGATAGAAGACAGTAAGTAATGCATTTTTTTTTTTTTTTTTTTTGTTGCTGTGTGTCGGGTTGCTATAGAAAAGTAAACAAATAGCTGATAAGGAAGAATTTGCGTTACCGCAACTTCTTATTTGTGGATTGGTGGAAAATGTTAAAATAAATTATCTAGATCATTTTTAATTTGGTTCCTATTTTTCAAAATGTCACACCTACATTTCTTAATCACTACTTAGCCGTAATTTAATTTAGGTTGAAATCCTTGTGACCATCGTTTAGCATTTTCAATTAGCTTTCCATAGAGGTGCCACAAGTAGGGTACCGCAATCTTAGAATTTGAAATGAGTGGGGGTGGCGCCTAGGGGTGGGTCGTAGTGATTTGAAAAATACGTAATTTGAATTTAGCTGGGTCGCTTCAATTTCCTATCTCTAATTTCATGCTAAAAATTCTTTTTTTTTGTAAAATTTATTTCTACCAATTTTTTTCATTTGACGGGTAGTTTTCCAATGTCACCCTAAAAATTTTATGACCATCGTTTAGCATTTTTCATCCAAAAAGGTGCCACAAGTGGGGTGTCGCCATTAAAGATTTTGGAGCGAGTAGGGGTGGCGCCTAAGGGGTAGGTCGGGGTGGTTTGAAAAATATGTCATGTGTATTCTGCCTTGATTTTATAAAAACCGTATTTTTTATTTTTTTGATATCTTTTTTGGTTCAAAAATTATAGCCATTGTAAGTTTTCAGTGGCCCACCCTGTATAGATATAAGTTCCTTTTATAGTAAGCAACAGAAATTGTAAGCTAAGGAAAGGGGAGGGCTTTTTGTAAATCAAAGCTTATCACATAAGCATCATTCACATTTTCAAAATCAGTCTTTAGACTATTTCTAGCCGATTGTGCCTTTCTTTGATGCAGTTCTCTTTGCAACTCTAATTCTTTTTTTATATTTTCTTCATCTGCAGCCTTTATTTTTAATTCAAATTCATCACACTTCTTGCAGGTATCTTGATGTGGTGGCTTGAAGTGTAAATTAAACTTCGTGTTGAAAACATGATAGTAATATTTTAAATTTGTTGGCTCTTTGTTTTCTCTGGAACACTCTTCTTTATATAAGTCGTACATTAACAGTTAATTCACTATTTAAATATTTTCTATTAGGATTCTTGAACCGGGAATAGTGGCTTTGGTAGGCTGGAAATTTACTTATATGGGCAACAATATCAGTATCATCTAATCGTCTGGAACTTGTCGTGCCACGCCGTTCTTTGCACTCCGACATCGTCTTCTTAGCAATGCATCTGTATAGTCGTCCATTACTTATTTGAAAAGTAGACAGAAAAAATTTCTTACACACAACCTGAGTATTTCCGTCATTCCTCAAAAAATATGAGAAAGAAGTCTGTTTTTCATGACCAGAACCATCTTTTGGGCGTTTTCGAACAACTTTTTTAGCTTGCACAAGACCATGTATATATGAATTTTGTGCCACATAATCTCCAAGGCTCCAGAACGAGTCAAAAATTAGTTGTCGTTCAACTTCCGTAAATAAAGTGAAGCATTTCTTTGCACAGCCGCAATCTAGATGAGTAAATTGTTTCTCAGGTACCATTACTCCCCTCTTTGAAACATAACTCTTTCCTGAATTTCTGCTTAACTTCCTTTGGTTTATTTTCCATGACTTTTCTATTCTTGTGCGTTTCCTTTTTCTTGATATTGTGGGTTGTAATAATTGTGGATTTTCGGCAATCTGTTCATCTGGAAAAAAAAAACATTAACATTATAGATAACCAAAAAATAAAAAAGTTGAAACCAATATTGGCAATAATAAGCATATAGTCAAAAATAGGATGCAATTTAAATCTGAAAGTACATACCTGGTCTTATATGAAATTGTAAGAGTGGATCATCACTGGAGGCAGTAGCTGGATCATTTTCTTCGGAACCTGTAACGTTAATTTTTATACATGCAAAATTGTACTGACTATTACCACTAAACTATTTTGAGGTGATACTTAGTCTGAATTTACTTACTAGATGAATTATTGTTCGAACTTGGACAATATTCGGACCCAGAGTCACTAAAATCAGAAAATTCGTCAGCATTTTCACTATCCATCACGAAAAAATTATTATTTCGCGCTGAAACAACTTTTATGTAAACATACAAACAACAAGTTTCAGAATGAAAGTGGTCTAACTCCTGACATGTACCATTGTTATACTGACATTGACGCATACTTGGACTTGTTCCATCTTTATACGAACTATTTTCTGTTTTGACACCCTTTTTATGATCAAGTATCGCCATCTTTTGGTAAAAAATCACATTAGGGAGATAGACCATTTTTATACGGAAAGATAGACATTATCCTTATCGTTTTAAATAAAGAGCGGCTATTTTTAAAAATAGTGGATTTGGACCACTGTTATTCTATGTGCCTCATATCTTGAATAGGAAAATCATTTTCTTCTGCCCATTGCACTTAAAGATAATGATCCCGCAGCATCACTATGTTTTACTTTGTGCACTATAACTTCATCTATCTCTGATTCACTGGATTCTTTGTGTTCGTCGTTAGTGATTATTGCTTCGTTAATAATGTCTTCTTTTGTTTGGTCTACAACATTGTCTTTTCCTCCGATCGCCCAGTCGATGATGTCATTGCTACTTAAGTTGTTTGCTGAATCTTTATTATTCAGCGAATCTTTCATAGCGTTTAAATCTATCTCACTTACAGTGCAAAGTCTCTTCCGAAGTTCTGAAAGTGGGACATTTTCTTCATCTGATTCTGGGTCTTCTATACCGCAATTGGGCTCAGTCCATAATGCTCCCCAGCTTCTTTGGATATTTTTTTCAGAAATGGACCTCCATGCTATATCCAGGTTATCTACTGCATCTTTCAAATTGTATTCCTTCAACATCCTTACTATATCTTCCCCTTCAATCCTGTTTGTAATATGATTTAGTAAACGCTTTCTGTATGGCACCTTTACATTTTGAATCCAGTTTTGATCCATTGGCTGTATCACTGCAGTACAGTTGGAGGGCAAAAACATGACTCTAAAATTGGCATCAAAATTTAGTGCTTCCTCTGTTGGATGAGAGGGTGCGTTGTCGATCAATAATAAATCTTTTTGCGGCATATTAACTTCTGCTAAAAATCTTTTGACGCTAGGCATAAAACATGTTTTGAGCCACTCCATAAACACAGGTCTTGTCATCCATCCTTTGCTAGTTGCTTTGTACACAACAGGTAAGTTAGCATTTTTGAAAACTCTGGGATTTGCAGATTTGCCTAGTGGCAACTTATGCGTACCTTCCGCGTTACAACAAAGCATAAAGGTTACACGATCTTTAGAGATCTTTCTCCCTGGAGCTGATTTTTCTTGACTATGGACCCATGTCTTATCTGGTAAGGCTCTCCAAAATGCCGCAGATTCGTCAGCATTATAGACTTGCTCTTTACTTAAGCCCATTTCATGCACCAAAGCGCGAAACTTTCCTTGGAATGAAACAATGGCATTGACATCACTCGAAAGTTTTTCGCCACAAACATTTAAAAATCATATACCATGTCTATTCTTGAATTTATCAAGCCACTAGCCAGCTAGAAAATCATCTTTTTGAGTTATGCGTTCATAAAAATGTTTAGCTTTTGTTCTTAGAATTTCTGAAGAAATAGGTACATGGGCAAGACGTTGTTGTAAGAACCAATTGTATAAAGCAGCTTCAACTTCAGGGTTTTCGGCCTTCCTGATTACCTGCCTTTTACCTAAAATTTGTTAATAAATCGTGCATTTTTCGTATAAAAAAGTTATTGGCACACAATACCTTTTCCTTGATATGACTTCGCCACAAAGTTCCTGATTCTGTCCTTATTTTTCTTTATATCAAAAATTGTGGATCTAGGCACCCCAAAATTTGCTGCTGTTTGACGGATACTTCCGGATTTATCAAGACTGTCGAATATTTTACATTTTTCACTGAGAGTCAATGTTTTATGAGGCCGTTTGCTTGGAGCCATTTTGCACAATGTAGCTCCTACGACTTGGTGAAGTGAAGTGATGACCATCAAACGTGAAAATGTTCACTCCGTTTACTTGTTACAACAGGAAAAATGTTTTCAGGTTGAGGTTTTCACACACCACATTTTATTTGCCCGGTTTAAAGAGGTAAATTTTTAAAAATGTCCGGTTCACAAAGTGATCCGGATTACTGGAGTGTCCGATCTACCGAGTGTCCGAACTAAAGAAGTTGTACTGTACTTCCATTTCCAGATGGAGGTTTTATTCCTGTAGATAAATATTCTGAAAAAGCTTGCCGAAAACTTGTGATGTTTTTATTCTGCAACATTTTTTTTTTCTGTACCTATGTCCAGCGTTTATCCAGGTTTCATCTAAATAATAGTTTTTTTTTTCATTTCGAATTTGTTTAATCTTCCTTAAATGTTTCCTCCTCCAGAAAATTATTGTTCTTCCTCTATTGAAAGTGGCTTTCGAGTATCCTTACCCCATACATAATATAATTCTTTTAATATTTTCCAAAGCTAGTCTCCACTTATTCCTGGTAAATCTTTATCGTTCTTAACCACTGTATGAATTTTGTTTAATGTAGGGATTTCTTTTTTCTGAAATAGAATGAATGGATTATTCTTCTGATTGCATGTTTATCCTGGTCTTCAATTATAATTTTGCTTCTTCCCGTTGATGTTTTTGGAGCAGTTAAATGGGCATTTTTTGATTTACAGACAAAACTACATAGACTTTTTGGACTAACTCCCGTCATTTTCAAAACATTTCAGTAATTCTAACAACGGTTGCTTTAGGATGTTGGTGGTCAAGAGCGGTGTACACATTCAAAATAATTCCCTTTTCTGTAAGAGTAAAAGGATAAATTACTGATTGATATTCTTCTATCAGCAGAAAATTCGGAAAAACTTGCACCAGTCAATTTTCAGTAGATACTTAAATTCAGGATAACGCACTTTCTATAACTTTCACACATACTGGATAATTTTATTTATTTTTCCACTTTTTAAATAATTTGCAGGTACTAAATATGGAAAATTCTATTAGTGCCTGCCTGTAGTAGTAGGTATATGTATAGTATAATTAATTAACCCTTATACCTATCACCTACCTTTAATAGAATATTTTCAATACCCCAGTCGATAGCTGACTAATCACAATAATAGATGTTCGGCAATATTCAAAAGCGTACAGAGAGAGTGATAGATGTTATTATGGTCATATTTGATGTATGGCAGAACATACCTCTCATTCTAATTATATGCGCATTTTTTATGCATACGATTGTTCTATACATTTTAAAATTAAATATTAACTTATTCCGAAGATATGAGACGCCTATGGCGAGTCGATTATGACATTGATTTGCAATGGTCTCGCATTTCTAAATAGACTACAGTTATATTTGAAGTAGTACACTTGACCTCAGAATTAAATGACAATTCCACAGAGCCAGTACATATCGTCGTTAATTTCACTAATGGGCGTATATGGAATTTACCAATTTTTCAGGACAAGCATTTGATTTTTTCAATTAATTTGAAAGCTTATGAGTCAAAAACCAAAATAGATATTGAAATGTCTTTTGGTGTACTTACGGGTTAATAAGTGGTATTTGGAATACTGTTTATAAAACTAGAATATTTTGGTTTTTAGTATGAAAATTTTGAAAAAAATACATTTACGCCACTTTGCAAAATTTTATTTTTGCACATTTCACATACGCCTCCTAAAATAGGTCATATACTTCCCTTTGTCAACTAGTTTTTTTTTTTCTATTCGATATACTTCTATCACAGTAAAATCTTACGATGTTTTTTATACTCTCTATTAATGGTTTGTAGTTTATTGCCAACAAGATAGAGTAGTTGCAATATTATAAAAACACAATTATTAACTGCCAAAATTAGAATACATTTTTATTCCATAATATTAAACGTAATGAGATATGCAACAACAACAAAAATAGCATTTTTAACAAATGCTGAAAGCAAACAATGCAACGACACAAAAATTCCGATTCTGTTCAATGTTCAAAGAAACTAAACGTTAATTTATAATTCAGGAGATAAGAAACATTGGCTTACAAGTGTGGAAGATTTTTGTAAAAGTCCTTGTATTCTTTCAATCTGATAACCGGATTTAGCCCTTCAGTTAGTGATATAAGGGATCGATACTTTTTCTCGGAAATTTTTTGTAAGCCTTTATTGAGTTTTTCTACTTTAATATTTCCAATGTTCACATTTCTTGGAAGAGTTAAAAAACTAAAGTCATTTTCGGAATAGCTTGTCTTGAAAAATATTTTATTCGCATCATGCTTTTTCACCTTAACAATCATAACTTTATTCCAGGATACCGAATTATGTTCTAAGTTAGCTGCGAAGGATTTTCTTGCAGACACTAAACGTAAATTTTGTGACAGCGTTTTAAAGTCCAAGAAGTCCGAATATTCTAATTCGTTCACAATGTATGGGTGTTTTCTTCGTGCTAAACGTAAAATTGGAATAATTTGGCTCGGTATGTAGAGATTTCCAGCTCTGGAAATGGCTGAGGAAATAGTACTATGTGCTGCATCGCCTTTACTTTGTCCATGAAACGATTCAAAAAAATAATGAGTGATTGTTCGAACATGCGTACTAAGTTGTAAAAAATATAAGAACATTGCAGGAAGTATGGAATTTTTATTCTGTCCCTGGCAGCCGTCAGAAAATAGTTCTACAGATTCTACATTTTTTAGGTCGCATTCCTTGAGAAACATAAATAAACAGGTAGCAATTTCGGACGCTGCCCTTTTGCTTATTACCTCTGTCCAGGTGTAACAGTGACAGTCTCGTGTTGCCAGATTGTATATAGTAAAATTGTAGAGAGCAAACCTCTGTTTATAAAACAACGCACTTTCGTTTGATATTGGTAGATGAATAACTTGCTGTAAGTCAAAAACAGCACTTATCAATTTACTTTGACTAAGAGCTTTCTCCTTACTTTCTTTTTTCTTGATCCTGGCCTGTTCTTTTTCAAAAATGTGTTTCTCATATTTTTCCCTTAAACTATGTTTTTCGTTATCACTACTTGTTTCTCTAAATGTCAAACATAGCGAACACTGGTCCTTTTTTGGTCGGTGAAATGATAAACCCATATTTTTAAAAACCTTTCTATATAGATCAGTAGAACCAATGTCTTGACCTTTATATTTGTCGAGATACATGCTATACATTTTGGGAATAGATAACTCGGGGTGTAAATATTCTTTTGCGGTAGACTTTCGGCAATAGTGAGACTCAACTTTAGGGAAAAGCTCTATGTATTGTTTTATGGATTCACGAATTTTTTCGTCCCTATTTTTCTGAGCTTTAGTTCGTCCTCCCCTTCTCTCCGTTTCAACAACTCCTGTAGGCTGAAGTTTTT